AAACAAGTTTAACCAAAAAATATTTATTTCTCACAATTATGAAGGGTCAGGGTTAGGGTTAGGGTCAGGTTTAGGATTAGGGATAGGGTTAGGGTTAAGGTTAGGGTCATTAATAACATCAGTAATATGTTTAAAACCAAAGACACTAACCTGTCAAAATTCAGATAAATTGTGGGGTCTTTGTTTTTATCCTTGTGTTATTCAAAATGGTATCGAATATTTTTCTGAGTATCGGTATCAAATTAAAAATTTTAGTATCGTGACAACCCAAATACTTACAGTGGGGGAAATAAGTATTTGACCCCCTTGCTGATTTTGCAGGTTTGCCCACTTACAAAGAATGCTTATTTTTCCTCATCAGATGGTTATCAATTTTTATAAATTCATATGATGTGATTTTCTGGAATCTTCTTTGGGATTCTGTCTTTCACTGTTAGAATGTACATATGATTAAAGTTATAGATCGTTGCATTCTTTGTAAGTGGGCAAACCTGCAAAATCAGCAAGGGGTCAAATACATATTTTCCCCACTGTAACTCTAACGTAAACATGCCAGTTTCCTGTTCACGTGATCGTATAGCGTCGTAAAAAAGTGTTTTGAATGTTGGTTGTTGGCGTGCAGCTAGAGAATGTTACAACATGATTTATGTATAAATTAAATAAAAGAAAAGGGGAAAAAACACAGGATGAACATGAAACTTTAACAGAATCTAAAAATTAATTCTTTCACTCAGCTGAACCGACAGCATAGACTTAGACTGAACTTTACTGATCCCTTGGGAAGACTCCCTCAGGAAATGAAGGTTACCAGAAGATACTGGAGAGGCAACCTTCTCCACAGCGCCAGAATCCATTTTCCTTCAGAAACAAAAAGAATACATTGGGAAAGCGGTTGCGGGAAGAGGGAAAAAAAGGCCCAGTGCCACGCCCCCTACAGGGGACGAAACAGTGATTTAAAAAAAACACCTCAGTACACTTAAGCACAGATACAGTCAAATCACAACATCAAGGACACATAGGGAGGGAGGGAAGGGGAAAGGTAACAATGAGGCAGTGAGTCCTAGGAATGCATGAAGTCTGTATTTGTGTGTGTGTAAGTAAGTGTAAGCAAGCTGGAGTCCACATCCACAGTCTGCTCTGTCCTGTATAAAGTCTCTTATTTGACCGTCTCCGTCTGCTCTGTTTCAGACCGGGGTATGTATAAATATAAATAAATTAAATAAAAGAAAAGGGGAAAAAACACAGGATGAACATGAAACTTTAACAGAATCAAAAAATTAATTCTTTCACTCAGCTAAACCGACGGCATGCCCACAGTCTGTCCTGTATAAAGTTAAAGTCTCTTATTTGACCGTCTCGGTCTGGTTTGGTCTGAATAAAGTTTCTTATTTGACCGTCTCGGTCTGGTTTGGTCTGAATAAAGTTTCTTATTTGACCGTCTCGGTCTGGTTTGATCTGAATAAAGTTTCTTATTTCACCGTCTCCAGTCGGTTTGGTCTGAATAAAGTCTCTTATTTCACCGTCTCGGTCTGGTTTGGTCTGAATAAAGTTTCTTATTTGACCGTCTCCAGTCGGTTTGGTCTGAATAAATTTTTCTTATTTGACCGTCTCGGTCTGGTTTGGTC